CTGTTGGTATAAATCTGGGGACAGATTTTGGACTTTGACTCCTCCCATCCCTCATCATCAGCCATGTTGGTTATTCCTACAGGGAACTGGATTTCTATATTATCAGAAGGGCCACTTACCCGTTTCTAGAGCTTACTTAATATATATCAGTCTCAGTTATGAACATAATAGGATAAACATCTTTCAGAGGTAGAGCATTTAATGGTGGATAAATTTCATCCAAAGTTATAGCATCTAATGGGAGAAATGATTGCCCCCATAAATAGACTCAGGATCTATCTATCTATCTGTCTGTTAGATTTATTCTCTGCCTTTCCTCCAGAAGCTCAATATGGTTTGTAAAGTACTTCCTCATCCATTTTTTTCCCCATTGCAACTTTCCAATAAAATGGAGCATGCTGGGAGAGAGTGACAGTGAGCTGCAGTGGTCTCAGGTGGGTTTGAACTTGGGTCTTCCCAACTCTAATCCAACACCTCAACTACTGCATCACAGTGGCTTTTTTAATCAGAAGCCAGTTTCGTTGAGTGTGTTTTAATGCAGTTGAAGGTAGTTACAGATTCATTAATACTGACAGATTCATTAATATTCTTTTAGTACCTTTTTTAAAGCATTCAGCATTCACTGCATCTAATTTAGCAACAGGTGTGCATGAGTGTTACAGTGGTACCTCGGTTCACGAACTTAATTTGTTCCGCGACACTGGTCGCAACCCAAATTGGTCGCGACCCGAATCAAATTTTCCCATAAGGTTCAATGTAAATACAGTTAATCCGTTCTGAACCATATGTTTGTTTTTTTTTAAACTACAAAAATATAAAACAAAGTACAGTACGAAGAGAGAGAACGCTAACCTTGCTCGAGGCGACTTCTGGCATGGAGGACAGGAAGGTGGGTGGGGAGGCGGTTATTGCTTGGAGGGAGAGTCCCCCTCCCTACAGGAAGCCATGACCACGTGTCATGGCAGGGAAAATGGCCGCGGATCCTGTTTGTCACCCAATCCGGCGTTCGCGAACAGAAGCAAAATTTTGCGAACGGAGCTGTTTGTGACCTGAATTGGTCGTGAACAGAAGTGTTCGTGACCCGAGGTACCACTATATATTACATGAATATTAGGATTACAAGCTCTCAGAACTCTCAGCCCTACATTTCTAGTTCTGGGAAATGTAGCTCCATCAAGGGTTGGCTGATGCACTTTCTTGTTAAAAGCAGTTAATCTTAAGGAGATAGAAATAGGGGCAGATGGCTTTGGTTGAATGTTTTGGCAATACAGTGGAGAAGTTCCTCCAGATTAATGGACAAACTGGATACTTAATGTTTAGCACATCTCTTTTATATTACATAACTCCAGTGTGCCATGGAGTACCTGTTCCATTTTTCACCACATTTTAATTTTGAACTGTATATATGAAAATGTCTGTTCACTGGCTTTGGGACTTCAATAAGAAAGACAAATGCTTGTTCTATGTTTTCACTATTTTCATGTTGGCATGCTCCAAACCCAAGTCCTTGCTTATTGTGATTCACACAGATAATCTCTTGGGAATTGTTAGGCTATTAGGGGATGAGTTTGTTCAATAAAAGAGCAGATCCCTAGGACCATTTACTTGATGTAATCTATTGCCCTTCATTTGTTTTGACAATAACTCCCCAGATACATTACCATTGACTGTCCCAGCTGATGGTGATAGGAACTAAATCCAAAAGATCTGGAAGTGAACAGATTGCCCAACCCTAGTTTAATGTACTGAAGTCAACATGAGGCCATTTTCAGGTACATTGTACTGTAAATAGCTCTTCGTTTAGCATTGGATTGCAATTCCTCATAACTGAATGGACTTGAACATGCTAAGTTGTAATTTCTGAGTCCTGTCATACTTGTTACTAATTCCCAATGATCAGGTGTTATGTTATCATATAACATATGGATAGACCCTATGACAAAATATTGCAGTATAGAATGATTCTGCCGAGGTTCCAGACTTCTATATTCCTTCCTTGAGTTGAAAGAGACCATTTAGGCCACCAAGTCCAAACATCTGCTCTAATCCAAATTAGAGCACCTCCAATAGAAGGCTGTCCAGCTTTGCTTAAAGCAGGGATCCCCAAACTCTTCAAGCTCATCGACCCCTTCATAAAGTGTCAGATTGTTCATTGACCCCCAAACATTTATTATATGAAAATAATTTAATAAATACTACTTTAACTAATAGTGCTATGAATTATAATGATGACATCAACCCCTTGGATACTTTCATTGACTACTGGGGGTTGATATTGATCCCTTTGGGGAACCCTGGCTTAAACGAATCCAGTGAAGGGGAGCATGTAATTGTTTCTGTTATCAAACTGCTCTTGTGGTTAGAAAGACAATATCATTTAACCTCAGGACTGTCCATGCTTGTTAGGATTGATGGGAGATGATACTCAAAACATCTAAGAGTATGACATTATCTACCTGTTCTGTTGCTCTCACTAGAGGTTTTAAATCAAGGTCTGGGTGGCCATTGTTGAAGAAGGTTTAGGGGACTCCTGCACTGAACAGAGGGCTGGATTAGATGATCTAGAACAGTGTTTTTCAAACTTGGCAACTTTAAGATGTGTGGACTTCAACTTCCAGAATTCCCCAGCCAGCATGCTGGAAGTTGAAGTCAACACATCTTAGTTACCAAGTTTGAGAAACACTGATCTGTAAGGTTCCCTGCAACTCATATATTTATTATAAATATGTTACATTATGAGTATTATTTGTACATTATAACTGTTTTGAATTAGAAAAGAACTCTAGCAAATGTGCTGAGGCTGTGTGGAAGAACAGCCCACTTGAGCTTAGATGCCCCTGTGCTCATCCTCTCACTCCTTTCTTGGCCTGCCCCATCATTAGGATGACCCACCTGCCAATCAAACAGCAGCTGCCAATCAAATGGGAGGAGGAGGGAAGACAAGATGGCTGCCTGGGAGCTCTCCAGCCACTATCCTCATGAGGAAGAGGCTGAATAAACAGAGCCAAACCCAGGAGCCAAATAAAGAGGCAAACTAAATGATGAGAAAGAGTCAACCAGAAAAGAGGCAGCAGCTGAGAAAACTGGATAGAGAGAGACATTTTTCTTTCCCTCAGACTGGTGTGAGGGAAAAGTTCTTCGAGCCATTTCCCTCAGATGGAGCCAAGATTGGGAAGAAGAGAAGGGTCAAGAAGCCCAGCCAGGAACAAACAAGCTGAAAAGGCGAAGAAAAACCCAAGAATTTGACAGAACAGAAATAGAAAACAGAAACTGAAAAAGTCAGATTGAACTCTGTAGAAAAAGGAATATAGCTCTAGAGAGAGTGATGGTACAGGGATTAAGAAACAGGTATATAGAGATCAGCAATAAACAAATATATTAGAGATATAGAAAGAAAAATATGAGAATATAATGAAATTGGAATTCAAAGAATATAATGTAGATAAAGAACTTATAGAAAATAGATGGTTAAAACAGAAAATATTTTTATTATTAAGGTTCATTTCTACACTAGTCTTCAACTTCATGCTTTTTTATTTGTAAGCTTTCTTTTTTAAAACACATGTCTCCCCCCAGCCACTGAAGGGAGATACAAAAAACCCAACCAACTGTCCAAGTTTCCAGTGCTTTGTGTCTATTGAGTCTGGGTCAATCTAATTATTGGTGGTTTAGAAAAAGAAAAAGAAAAATCCATGACAGGCTGTTATTGGTATTAGCAAGAACTGGTACAAGGATTGATGGGACATATATTTTCTTTGTATTAAATTTTTTTTTTTAAAAAAATACCATTTTTCAACATATTTCTCAAGTAAGATGTAGTAGTACATAGAATGCACAAAATGAATATTGAATATTATATAAATATATAGAATAGAATATTTATAACAATATATAAATAGGAAGAATAGCATCAAAAGTCTTTTGAAGCAAGAAATTCTTAAACTGTCAAAAGGGGGATATCTTTTCAAATGACTTAGTGTGGAGGACACTAAGGACAAATTTATTTTAATTTAATACACTTATTCTCCTATAGTTTCTGAATCTGAGAAGTGAAACAAACTAGGAAGCCACCATTTAATGATTATTTTATGCTTTACCTGAAAAAAAATGTGGTTAATGAATTTGCAACAAGCAAAGTTGACTTGTTTGGAAATTAACCATAGTTCATAGTTTGAGCAATAGAAGACATACTAATTATGGCTTCTCAGCTTGGTTGCTCCTCATGAAAAAGAAAGACCAATGTGCCTGTGTTCAGGTTTGTGAAGCTTATATATATGCTGATTTATCAAGCCAGGATTTGTTCATCCAAATGTGACCAGCATCAGGGGTAAAATGGAAAAATAATTACTTTTCATAAAGATTAATTTAACTTCCTCGCACTATGAAATCTGAATCATGGCTTTAGTCAGAGGCTTTCGTGCAATTTCCTTACTTGTTTATGATGCTCCAGTCTCCCTTTTTTATTTTAAAAGGAAAATCAACTACCCTTCATTTTCACAAATATATGCAGAAGTGTGGGAGTAGCTTTGACTCCAACTGTTTTCTGAAGCTTTCACAGAAGTTCTGAGACTTCAAAGATTAGCATTCCAACCCATCTCGAGCCATTAGCTCCTTGGGAGTCCTCAAACACTGGTATTTTTCAGCTTCATTTCCTGATCTGTTAACTGGGAGTATTTCTTCTCTGCCTCTTGATGGTTATTGGAATAAATGAATGAAACAGGCAATGCAAAGTGAGTTATGTGCTATACAATTGTTGGAGAGAATATTTAGGTAGTAATATTTGCCCTTTCCTCAAGAAAGTATTTGTTTGATTTCTTCTGGCTATACAAACTGCCTAGGCTAAGGGGAAATTACAGGTGGAGGACTCACCATTATTTAACTTTTTTTTCCTTTTAGCGGCATTGGCCATTGCCAACTAAATGCATTCCACTAGGGTTAGTGCAACCCAGAGGATACTTTCTTTTTAATTATAATAATTGTGCTTTTGTTTCTTTTGCCAGCTGGTGATGGAGTTCTGTGGTGCTGGATCTGTCACCGATCTGATCAAGAACACCAAAGGGAACACTTTGAAGGAGGAGTGGATTGCCTATATCTGCAGGGAGATTTTACGGGTATGTGTCCAAGATGACCTAACCATCTCTCTGTAATTTTGCTGCATCAACCCAGTACAGAAATAATGCTAGTTCCCTCCAATCACATCAGAAGCCAAGGTTGATATATATGGTCCCTCTCTTGGTTTCTTTTCAGGTCAGTTCAGTTCCTCTCTCTTGCTGACCTTAAACCATGGTTCATTATCACACCTATACTGACAATTTCAGATTTTTACTAAAATCACACACCTAGTTAATACTAAATAGCATTAATTCACATATAGAATCATGGTTCTGGCCAACAACTGTAAGAGGTGTAAATTTGTTGGAACAGGCATTAGACACAGGAGAGTTAGTGACGAAGGAGTGAGAGGTAGCGGTTGAGTATTGGAATGTTCTCCCTTTCCATGAGACTCTTCGTCTCCTGTTCCGTCTATCATTTATTACTGTTAAAAGTTGATTATTTTTATGTCCAGGTAGAATTGAGAGGATATCTTTACACTATTCGCTCAACATCTTAAGATAGTCTTTATATTCTGCTATTGTATAAAAATTGTTCAGTGAACTGAGTAACCTATTACTTTAAAGCTTCAGCACATCTCTCTTTAATTAGTAATTAAAACTTTGCAATAGAATCTGAACTGGTAGGAAGGTGAAGGTGAGAAAAGGGAAAGTGTCCATATCTAAGACTTCATTCTGAGTTTATAAATTAATCTGCTAAGAGCTAATGTTATGCCTGTACCTAATCTCTGTTCTGAATTTAGTTGCTTAGAATAGAGTCACAAGATAGAAGATGGCTCCAAACGCTTGGTGGCTAGTCATTAGAGGATTGTATGAATGATTCATAGTCACTTAAATCCAATGTAGAATGAATGAATGAATGAATGAATGAATGAATGAATGAATGAATGAATGAATGTTATTTGGTTCTCCTTCTTACTTGTCTTTCAAACCTACTGTTTCTTTTAGAAGGAAAAATCCTTCTTTAATATTAATAGGAGCAGATGTATCAAAATTAGAATTCCAGATCCCTTTACAGAAATGGGAAAATGACTGGAGGTAGGGATGGGGAAAGATCTTTTCATATACTCCTCCTGCTTTTCCTTTAAAGACGATCCAATGACTGGCTCTTGCAGCAAACTGTTGGACAAGAGGAATGGGAAATGATGTCTTTTGTCAATAATTCACTACCATTTATAATTCTAACTACAGTAAGACTGAGAATCAGGATAATTTCTGGATGTTACTAATGTTCTACATGGAAATCATTTCAGTTTTTATTACATGGCAAAGTCAATTATAATGTGCAAGTTTCACAAGAAACTGAAGACTTGCTATGTATTACAGACTCTCTGTCACCATTTTATTATTTCTTTTATGGATATCCATAAAATGTTCACACTTTAGCTAAATCTACTGGAATCCTCTCAAAGGCCACAAATCCAAAGGCAGATCAAATCAAGCACAGTTTATTTCAGAAGTGGATAGACTTCATGCTTTGGGGATCTGCTTAACTGACACTCTGAGATCTGCTAATTAGAGCCTCCTGCAAATAACACTTAGATACTTAGAAGTGAAGATGCAAAATGCAGGAATAGTTTAACACGCTAACCTTTACACCACATTGACTTTTTACAGGTTGCTCTAAGGTCTTTTTATTCAAACATGGTAATTTGAGAAGGGGGAAGGATAAAAGTCACTTTTAAATAATTGAGAGGTAGAAATCCTTTCTAATCTTCGATTCATATGTACCTTTTGCCTGTTTCTCTTTTAATCAATATAAGGGATGCTATTGTGAGGGTATAACACTTTTTTAAAAAGCAAGTCATGCTCTATGCAATTGGGTGGGAAATAAAAGTGGTGAATCAATCTAGAAAGCAAAGGATATTGAACTCCTATTCTGTCCCTTTACTAGCTGGGATACCATCTCTCTCTGTAGTTAGGTTATAGTAAATGATGCATAAACATTGTTTTGCCATACTTCCATTTTTTGGTTTATTTATTTGTAAGCAAACTGTGACCTGATCTGGATCAGAAGCATCCTTCATGGGATGGGGAAAAGTCTAATCCTTCCCTTCAGCCCTATTTTGAAGAAAAAGAAAACCACAGAGATATACTTGGTGCCAATAAGTTTTTTTTTAAAGTCATACAGGAATGAATTGTGATTTTTTTAAAAAAATGGGAAGGAGAGCTGTGGGAATAATTAGGGTTTTCCCACCCACATGCAATGGTCCCTATCTAGATCAGGCTAGAGAGCACTTCTAAAGAAGTAAAGTAAGACTGAAGTAAAACAGGATAGTAGAAATTTTGTCTGTCATTTATTTTTTTCACCCAGTTGTGTGGATGCTGTGCCCTAAATGCTGATGGTTGCTGCCCATAAAACATGTGTTTTTATCCTCCTAATCTACAGAGTATTTTTGCTTTGTCATTATTTTTTCTTGTGGTTGCAAAGGTCACAATGATTCCCAGTTCTGCAAGCACAATGAGTGTATGTGGTCAGCAGTGATAAACACATAATCAGTGGGACACTGCAATCTCTGGGTAGCAAAATATTAAATGCTACAGTGGGTGGAAGACAGTGGGTGAAATGTGGTCATTTCGGTTCTCAGGAGTATGCTCTTCTAATACATTCTCAGCACCCTACAGGGTTAAGTCAGAAAGAAAGAGAGGAAGCTGCAGAATTCAACCTGAAAATGAAAATACAATCTAAAACATTCCCAAAGTGACAATTGCTATTTGGAGGTGATAAAGCACTTGTTTGTTTAGAGTAAACACTCCAGCTGTAACACTTTAACAACTTGATATGAAAAGCAAGCGTGTGACTCATCAACAGTGGTACTGACTTTCATTTCTGTCTCAAGAAGGCATGGTTGCACAGGCTGGGACTTACATTTATAAACTGGAAAGTCAGCTTCTTAAAATAGACCATGAGCAGTGAATCAGGTTGAAACTGTTGAATTGTTCCCTCACTGTCACAAATTTAAAATGTCAAAAGTTCAGCCAACGCTGTCAGCTTAGCTAGTGGTGGGCCTGCAGTCATCTGGGGTGGGATGACTCCTGATCTTGCACAAAGCTGATCCATATTTTGAATTGACAGTTTGCCAGAAATGAACTTACACATGATATGGATTACTGGCTTGGTGTAAACATTAAGGGCTCAGTCTCCTTAATAGGAACACCATAAGAAGTTGTCCCTTTTTTTTTTTTAATAATGCCATTCATTTTTGGAGTTAACTGTGGCCAAGATTACAGTTTGGTGGAAGAGTATTTACCTCCTTCCACATTTTCTTAATGTTTTGCTTAAGTTTGCCAGTTAATGTTATCACAGTTTCATGTAGGTCCTGTTGATATATAAAAGGAATCTGAGTATTTCATCTGAAATATACAGCTGGCAATGGATGGATGGAGAGATAGAGATAGATAGATATGCATGTTTCAAGTACAACATAATATGTACATAAATTCCATATATTTTTATAATCAGTAAACATGCAACTCCAATTAAAAAGGTTAGTATCCTAAAAAAAATGAATAGCAAAAACCAATATAAGTGTGTCTTATACTGGGGGAAGAAAAACTCTTTAAAACACAGGCACAAGCTTTTCAGAGTTGAAGCTTGCACAGCCCTTCTGGGAAAACGTGCTGTTGAAGGTAAATACAGTAAGGCCAAGATTAAAAAAAAGCAAAAGACAAAAACAATATCAGCTGGAGGTATTTGAAAAAAAAACATTTTAATTTAATTTAATTTCATTTCATTTAAATGAAATGATATGTGTTTATAGGATTACTCCCATGTATTTAATAATTATTCTTTGACATTTAAAAATACAGTTTAGAGAAAAAGAATAGTAGGACTTTAATAACTGAAATCAAGTATTTAAAGGATGACATAGGCCCTTTGGCTGCAGTGGTATACCCTGGTTAAAGGCTGATGGGTTCAAGGTTGTGTTAAGTCTGTGAAAATGATACAGTAAAGCCACTTGTTACAGCATATGCAGAAAGGACTTGTAGTATTTTCAAGCAGGGGTGCATAAGGCAATCCAAGCACTACATGTGGCCCATAGTATCTTCTTTTGTGTGCCCAGAGTGCCGTCCCGATTGAGTGGGACTAAAATTTGGGGGAGGGGTTGCAGTTGAAGGATTTTAAGGGGCAAAAAGGATGCCTTCAATCTTGCAGAGGTGTATGATATCATTTTCACCTATTAGATCTTCTGAAACTCCCCTCTGAATTGGGCTCTGATGCACCCCACTTTTGTAGGACAGCCCTGGCATGCCGTGCAAAGTCTGGAAATGGAAATGGTGCATCTTTGTTTAAATGATTACACAGTAATATGTTTGAAATGTGCAAAGTTCCATTTATAAACCATTTAAGTGAATGGGTATTCTTTAATGAAAATTCTGAGAGCTTGGTAACTATTTTAAATTCGGTCCCACTCTAGGGACTCTTAGTTTTCCCCTTCAATAATATATCTGATATGATTTTCAGGAGATTAATCCTTCTTTTTCCTCTCTTTGCTAATATTCTGTTACTTCCAAAGAACAGAATAAAAGCATTTGTAGGTAGAAAGCTAATAAAGCATATACAGTGGGGCAAAAAAGTATTTAGTCAGCCACCAATTGTGCAAGTTCTCCCACTTAAAAAGATGAACTTAAAAAGATGAGAGAGGCCTGTAATTTTCATCATAGGTATACCTCAACTATGAGAGACAAAATGGGGGGGAAAATCCAGAAAATCACATTGTCTGATTTTACTTAAAAAGATGAGAGAGGCCTGTAATTTTCATCATAGGTATACCTCAACTATGAGAGACAAAATGGGGGGGAAAATCCAGAAAATCACATTGTCTGATTTTACTTAAAAAGATGAGAGAGGCCTGTAATTTTCATCATAGGTATACCTCAACTATGAGAGACAAAATGGGGGGGAAAATCCAGAAAATCACATTGTCTGATTTTACTTAAAAAGATGAGAGAGGCCTGTAATTTTCATCATAGGTATACCTCAACTATGAGAGACAAAATGGGGGGGAAAATCCAGAAAATCACATTGTCTGATTTTACTTAAAAAGATGAGAGAGGCCTGTAATTTTCATCATAGGTATACCTCAACTATGAGAGACAAAATGGGGGGGAAAATCCAGAAAATCACATTGTCTGATTTTACTTAAAAAGATGAGAGAGGCCTGTAATTTTCATCATAGGTATACCTCAACTATGAGAGACAAAATGGGGGGGAAAATCCAGAAAATCACATTGTCTGATTTTACTTAAAAAGATGAGAGAGGCCTGTAATTTTCATCATAGGTATACCTCAACTATGAGAGACAAAATGGGGGGGAAAATCCAGAAAATCACATTGTCTGATTTTAATAAATTCTTTAAAAATCAGACAATGTGATTTTCTGGATTTTCCCCCCCATTTTGTCTCTCATAGTTGAGGTATACCTATGATGAAAATTACAGGCCTCTCTCATCTTTTTAAGTGGGAGAACGTGCACAATTGGTGGCTGATTAAATACTTTTTTGCCCCACTGTACAGAGTGTTTCTTTTGAAGCTCTTTTATTAGAATGACAAGTTTGTATAAAAGAGGATTAGTACAGTGACAATGACCTGAATTATATAAATCACTCAAGAACTATTTGCAGACTTGTTTTAGTAATGCAAGCTAATAATCATTTGAATGTGTATACAAATAGTAAAAGAACAAGGTAGCTTAGATGAATCGTAATTACTTGAATTAAATTATTAATTAACACTACTGTCTGAAGTTTCATAACAATCATATCTTTTCTCCCTATGATCCCAGGAGAAAATTCACCCTTCTGCCTCAAAGTCAAATTAGACTCAATCTCTTACAATCTTACCCCTATTTAAATATTTTAGCAAGTTGATGGATGTTGCTTTATTGAGAAAGAAACTCTTCTCAGGTATAATCATATACTAGTTAAATCATATATTAGTGAAAAAATGCACAAACATCCCATATGTTCCAAACCACTGGTATTATTCGTTCCCCATAATGTTTAGGGAAAACGGCAAGTTAAGATGCATTTCAGTTTTTATTTAACTTGCTGCTGTGTTATGATGAGTTAAAGGAAAAGATGACTGCCTGAGTGGTTACCAACCTTTCTGTGAGAAAGATGCTGTTGCCTGAGTTTTACTGCTGAACTGTCTACCCAGTTTCAAACATTTTAACATTTTGCTTAAGCTTAAGCACATACATACACACCGATATGGTTTCCCACACCTTTTACCTGTCCATTCATTCACTTTGCATCTGTGAAAAAATATACAGGAAATGCTTTGGTCCAGCATTCCTTAAAACATTATGATTGTATCATATACAGGTAGTCCTCATTTAGCAACTGCCTCGGATAGCAACCATTCACAAATATGATGGTAATAAATGGTAATAAAAATTTCATTTTCCGACCAATGTGAACATTTACAACAACAAAAGCCTTCAGTGTGAAACTGATTAAGGTCTGGCCCCTTTCAGCAACAGCTGCCAGCTGGAGGGAGGGTTCTAATCAACTATTTAAGGTCACAGAGGTGAACTTGTTAACTTGCCCTTAGTACATTTTAGGGAAGTGCTGCAGAGAAAAGCAGCTCAGGAAGAGATAGCTTGTTTAAGCAAACTCTTTGCCTTGCAAGGGGAAGAAAAAAGGAAAAAAGTGGATCAGGCACAGGACACTGTATGAGAGAACTTTATCTGAATGAGACGGCAGTAACCAGTGATCTTTGCAGTGTGTGTGTGTGTGTGTGTGTGTGTGTGTCTCTCTCTCTCATATGTGTTCACTTAGCAACCATTTTGTTTAATGACCAAGTCATCAGAACCA